ACCTGCAAGAACAGCACAGCACCAACACTCACTACTTACCTTGCTAACAGTGCACCTCCACCCCTACCTTCTCCTACAGACATGACCCTTCAACCAGACCTTAGCTCTAGGATCCCTCCCAAATCAGACCTATGCAAGCCTTGATAATACCTCACACCCTGCCCCGCCTTCTCCTGTGGACTTGCCCCTTAAAATACTTCTGGCCACAGACCATCTGAAGCCATGCCATAGGCCTGCAGAGTGCAAGCAGCCCTGACAGGGGCCAGTACCACTCCAAAGTGACTTCTGCCCCAGGAAGAGGGGAAGATGAACACACACACCAGTCCAACTACAGCCTCAACAGTGAGCTGGAGATAGACATCTGGTCTGACTGCGTGCCCTGCCCACTAGTGGAAGCTTCTCAAGAGACAACACAAGGAAAGCAACCAGCAGTGCAGTGCTATCCCTATCTCTGGCAAATAGCTGGTTTGACTCAACTCAAACCCAACACAGCCCCCAGACTGCCCCACTGACAACATAGGGACCAAACCCTGCCTACAACAAACAAAGAGAGCCATTGCAGACGACTGGACTGAAGGCAAGCATGGCTTGACCACAGCAGAAGGGTGCTTGCAAAATACATAGGAGACAGCCCTGAAGCACCAGGTTCTGGTGAACAGGAGACATTGCACTGTAGGACATCACAGGACCTCTACTTCATAAAACCACTAATTTAAAATCAGGAGATGTAGCTAACTTTTCTAACACATAGAAAGAGACACAGAGAGTTAGACAAAATGAGGAGATAGAGGAATGTGTTCTAAATAAAAACCAGGACAAAATTACATCCAAATAGTTAAACCAAAAGGAGAAAATTAATATGCAGAATACAGAATTTAAAGTAATGGTCATAAAGATACCCAATGGACTAGAGAAAAGAATGGAGGACTTCAGTGAGACCCTTAATGAAAAGGTATACTTAGGGATGATGGCAGAGTAGGAGGACCCTGAGCTCTCCCCATCCCATGTTTACATTATATATCATTGACATCCAACCCAAAAACCAGAGAGTGATGAGAAACTGGCAGAACAAACTTCACAACTAAATAGAGAAGAAGCTGCATCTGAAAGGTTAAAGGTCAGAAAGGCGAAGGGAGGCTGTCCACAGGAGCGAGGGAGTTGCACGCATGGAGAAGGCTGAGAAACAGGCCCTCACACCAGGGAGCTCACATGGAGAAGACTAATTCCTATAATGTCTGGCTTCAAAAAACAGAGGGACTAAATTCTGCGAGTTCTTAAAACGAATGAGACTTGCAGCTTGGAGCTGCAAAAGTCAGCTGACTCAGCACTGGGTGAGCTGGAAGGGCAAGGGATAGCTGGATCGCTGCCTTTAAAAAGAGGCAGGAAGACCCTCTTTTTAAAGGCAGATTGCAGAAAAAGAACGGCAAGATGGCAGAGAAGTAGGGAGCTCCATGCATTTCGCTTGCACCCATCTCTCAAACAGAGAAGGCCTGTAGTCATAGGACACTGAGCCACCGGAGTTTGGGAGGAGAAAGAGACAGAGTACACTGGGAAGGAAACCTCATAAGTGTGCGAGTGCGAACTCGGGAAGATAAAAGCGGGACGGGACCCAGGGACACAGAGGGAGGGGAGGGAACCCGGCTTGAGTGCAGCTGCGGTGAGTGATGAGCCACGGCCAGCGGTGGTGAGCTGCGGGGAGTCCAGGGGAAAGGAAGAAGAAGCTGAGATTGCTCATAGAACCGTCCCTGGAGAAGAGAAAAACCTCGGCTTGGAAAGAGTGTTTTTTAGTTCTGGCTGGGGTGCTGACTTTGAACTAGGTGCCCCCGTCCCAGAGGCGCCAGAAAAAACTGCACTGCAGCGCTCCAGGCACCATCCCTGGCGGTGGCGGCTGGGTGGCACAGATCCGTTTATCTCTCTTTTTCTCAGCTTCCTCTTTTTCTATAATTGTGTCTTCTAAATCACTTATTCTCCTTTCTGCCTCTTCAATCCGTGCATTGGACGCCTCCATTTTATTGTGTATCTCATTTATAGCATTTTTAAATTCATCATAACTACTTTTAAGCTCCATAGTGTTTGTAGCCATAGTTTCTCTGATGTCTTCCATGCTTTTTTCAAGCCCAGCGATTAATTTTATGATTGTTGTTCTAAATTATTGTTCAGTTATGTTGCTTACATCTATTTTGAGTAGTTGTTTAGCTGTCATTTCTTCCTGGAATTGCTTTGGAGGAGAGCTCTTCTGTTTTGTCATTTTGGTTAGCCTTCTATCTCTTGTTAATTTTAAAATCTTGTTGTACACTCAGCCCCTGCGAGTTCTGCTATATTAGAGAGGGCTCTTTGACTGTTCAGGGCCTGTCTGTTCAGGAAGTGTTCTTTGAATGGTGTCTCTTGGTTTCTCTTGTTGAGTGGTTATTTTGTTTCCCTACTCACAGCAGTATTTGGGACTCTCCACCATGTGTAGTTTGGCTTGTTTCTTGAGGTAGTCCTGGAAAAAGAAAACAGACAACCACACAGGGAACAAAAGTACACAAACACACAGACAAAACCAATAAACATGCAAACCCAGGCTCAGGTAAAAACAACAACAACAACAACAACAAAACAGCTCTCTGGAGGGGATGGGCGTGGTTTGGTGTAGGCAGGTCTCACCTCCACTGTGTCCCCCGCTGGCCTCTCCCTGAGGTCCCGCCTTGGTGGTTGTGGGGAGAAGAATGGCGACGCCCCAGTCCCTTCTCAACCAAGTGTTGCAAATCACTCCTTTGGGTCCGATCTCCCTGTGCTGAGGACGTAGCCAAGGTGGGGCGAGTTCTATGTCCCACGCTCTGCCTCTTTTCCAGGTCCCAGTCCGTGGGCTTTGTTTATACCACCCTAAACAGTCCCACATGTCGCTGCTTTCCTGGTGCCTGGGGTTGAGTGGGGAGTTGGGGAAGTGTCGCAGCCTCAGATCTGCTGGGTTAAGCAGTGATACAACCCAAGTGCGTGCAGGGAACGTAGCAACTCGAGGTCCACAGAGTCCGTCCGCACCCCCATGTGCTGCTGGTGCCGCAGCTGCCCCCAGTGATGGTGCCAGGAGCGCTGCAGTGCAGTTTTTTTTTGTTTTTTGTTTTTTTTTTTTTTGGTGCCTTCTGAGACTGGCGGCACCTAGTTCAAAGTCAGCACCCCAGCCAGAACCAAAAAACACTCTCCTTCCAAGCTGAGGTTTTCTCTTCACCAGAGATGGTTCTATGAGCAATCTCAGCTTCTTCTTCCTTTCCCCTGGACTCCCCGCAGCTCACCACCGCTGGCCTGGCCGTGGCTCATCACTCACCGCAGCTGCACTCAAGCTGGGTTCCCTCCCCTCCCTCCGTGTCCCTGGGTCCCGTCTGGCTTTTATCTTCCCCAGTTCGCATTCACACACTTATGAGGTTTCCTTCCCAGTGTACTCTGTCTCTTTCTCTTCCCAAACTCCTGTGTCTCAGTGTCCTATGACTACAGGACTTCTCTGTTTGAGAGATGGGTGCAGGCGATGTGCATGGAGCTCCCTACTTCTCCGCCATCTTGCCAGAATTCAATAATTACTCTTAATATAAATGCACTAAACTAGTCAAAAGACACAGAGTGTCAGAATGGATTTAAAAAAATAACATCTATATGCTGCCTACAAGAGACTCATTTTATTTTAATTTTTTAAGAGACTCATTTAGACTCTCCACCATGTGTACTTTTGCTTGTTTCTTGAGGTAGCCCTAGAAACAAAACAGACAGACAAACACACAGGAAACAAAAGCACACAAACGCACAGACAAATCCAACAAACAAGCAAACTGAAAGGGAAAAAGAAAAAGAAAAAAAAGACAGAAAAAAGGGAAAAGAAAAAAAAGGGAGAAAAGAAAAAAGAAAGAAAACCAAAAGACAAAGGACAGTCTAAAAGCATAAAACCAGAACTCCCAGCTACAAATAAAGAGCAGGGTGTATGCAGTGCTGATGGGAGAGCATAGAGAAAGAGAAATGACAGGGCAGGGAGAAAGGGAAAATGGACAATGACCAGGCAAAGAGACTAAGAGGCTTAATTCAGAGAAAGAGGAGAATACGGTAGGAGGCGAGGAGAAAGAAATGAAGGTAATATTACTCAGAGAAACTATATAGTCTGATTACTCCAGAGAGAGAGTTATAGAAATGTATCTGTGGAGGTGTAGAATATACATCTAGAGAATGGATTAAACGTGACTGTTTAAGCAAACCAATGACCAGAGTGCCCAGTCCAGCAGAGAGGAGGGATACGAATGAGACAAGGGAAAATATATCTGAATAGAAAGAATTGATCTAGAATTAACCATGGCAGTGCATCTATGTTGGTCTTGCCCCCTCCCAGTAAAAAAAAAAAAAAAAAAAAGCAGCTCTCTAGTGGGGATGGGGATGGTCTGGTGTAGGCAGGTCTTAGCCTCCATCATAACCCACTGGCTGCTCCCTGAGGTCCCACTGAGATGGTTGTGGGGAGAAAAATGACGGCGTCCCAGTCCCTTCTTGAACCAAGTGTTGCAAATCACTCTTTTGGGTCCGATATCCTTGTGCCACCTGTTTAGCCAAGGTAGGCCGTGTTCTATGTCTCAAGCCTCGCCTCATTTCCAGGTCTCAGTCTGCACGCTTTGATACTGCCATAAGTATAATCCCGCCAGCCGGGTCCTTTCCAGCTGGGGATTGAGCTGGGAGAGCAGCGGAGCAGTTTCAAGCTAGGCCGCTTCCCTGCTGGATGGAGCCAGAGAGCTCCACTATGAGCTTACATATACAATACTCACCAAATCTAAAGAGAGGCCGGCACATCCGTAGGCCATTGCACTGAAGAACACTAAATATCTATGGAGGGTATGACTACTGAATTGATTTTCTCTCTCCTCTGCCTGTTCTTAACTTGGCACCCACAGATATCTCTAGTCTCCCTTCAAGGAACTATATGATCCTTCCATTCTGTACTGGTTCCCTGCCTCCACCCAGTTAAGAAGACTCAGGGTACATATAACTGGTAATCATGTTTAATTATGATAAAATCTCTATATACAGATAAATGTCTTCAATGTGCTTCTCCTGCACAATCAGTGAAGAAATCCTTAAGGGCTGAGTAGATGCTGCTGGTAGGGAGCACATAAGTAGAGGCTCCGAGGCCAATACAGGAAGCAGACTCATAACCAGATCCTCGGGGCAGAGGGGTCACAAGAGGTGACCTGGAGCTTGTGTCAGAATCACTGTAGAACTGACCTATGTGACAGGCTGTCAGGCAGCTGGGAATTCTGGGCAAGGACAGGCAGGCATTACAGAAGACAGACTCCCAGGTATCCTCAGGCATCAGCGCAGGAGCCCTGTAGAAAAGAGAGTGGCCAGCACCCGGCACCATGAAGGATGTGCCATCTCCCCTCCTCTCAGGGCCACTGCAGCGTTAGAGAAGGCTGAGACTCAGGGCCTATGGTCATCACCTCCCCCAATATCTGTGTAAAGATGAAATCAGCTAAAGAGAACATGCCACTCGAGCTGCACACAGATGTGTGGGAGGCAATAGACCAGCTGTCATCCTTTAGAGGTATAGAAGGGTTGCAATCTTTTTAATACAAGTAACGATAACTCACCTTCTTTCCACTGGAGCCTTTTAGCCATTTATAAATGCATATAGGCAGGAGCCACCAACATGTAACCCAAAGTGGGCATCATCTTGGTATCTAACACCCAAGTTGTAGCTCTGGCTCCCACTTTCACAGAAAGATGCCACCAAAGTTATGGCTTGGTTCTGGGGAACAACTCATCTTCCTACAGAAACTTGGCAAACTTCTCCCTTAACTCTTGATCTCTGTAGCAGGGAACAGGCAATGAACTAAGACCATTGTGCCTGGTACACTCACCTCATGTTCTTCCCTCTTTTACCTGTCCCCACACCCACACTGAATCAGAGCAGAAATAGTACTTACTCGTGGGGGCCCATGAGGTCCTACAAAAAGAAGTTGTGCATAAAAAGGTCTCATACACAAATAGCCAGTCTCTCACTTGCCCCAAAGGGAGGTGAGATGAGCAACTTAATTTTACTTTCTCCCTACCCATTAACCACAAGACCTTAACTGCCCTAAGCTAAAATCCCCTAAAATGAATGAAACTGTCATGAGGAGGAAAGGAAGCAGATGCTCTGACCCTCTTAAAGAAGGAAGCTTTCAGAAAGGAGCCAGTGATGGGTTGCCTGGGTGGCTCAGTCGGTTAAGCCTCCGACTTCGGCTCAGGTCATGATCTCACGGTTCGTGGGTCCAAACCCTGCGTTCGGCTCTGTGCTGATAGCCAGCTCAGAGCCTGGAGCCAGTTTCAGATTCTGTGTCTTCCTCTCTCTCTGACCCTCCGCTGCTCGCTCTTTCTCTCTCTCTCTCAGAAATAAATAAAAACATGTAAAAATTTTTTTAAAAATTAAAAATAAAAAAAGAAAGGAGCCAGTGAGACAATGATGAACTGTAAAGAAGGCCTAGAATATACTCCATCTGTTATGTCTATGGTAGGGCTCCCTTTCAACCAGTAAAATTAGATTCCAAACCTCCCCCTAGGTTGTCCCATCTCCCACCACCAGCCCATCTTCCTTCCTTTTAGGGTCAGAAGGAAAGAGCTACATCTAGAGGCAGAGGCTCCCTGAACAGAGGGCCTCAGGCACAGTCTATCCCCCCCCGCCCCCCTATTTCTCCAAAGTGCGTTACCTTTCTGGTTCCTGCAATGGATGATAAGGCCCAGCCCGAGGAAGATCAGCCCCAGCACGAAGCCTCCGATGCCACTCAGCATCCTCCTCTGGGTAGATTCAGACTGTACCCCTGGGGAGCAGAGCCTGAGTGTCAGGGTTGTCCCCACACTCCACAGGGTCTCTTTGGGAAGCCTGAAGTTCAGTCTGAGGCACAGGAGATGGAGGTGCCAGGAGAAACTAGTGCTCCATTCTGACCACCCCTAGGGGAGGGAAGGACCCACCGATAGTTCCTTGCACACAATAGGTATGTGAGAGAGAGAGGGGGGAAGCTGATCTTTGCTCCTCCAAACACATCTATAACCTTAGACTCTAAGACCCCAGTCACCAGCCAGAATAGTAAATCCTTCAGTGCTATAGGGCTAGGCTGTGGAAGCATGGTGTGAAGAGTGATCTCCCTAGTATCTAGAAAGACAATGAGATCAAGATACTTCTGATGCCGCTGCCATGAGACAAGAGGCGCTCTAGTTTCCTGTGATTTCCCACTCAGTAGTGACATTAAGGTTGAGGAATAGAGTCGGATGGGATGGAGGAAGCTCTGCCCTCTGTCTTATGGGGTCCATAGTAACAGGAAACAGACTGCTCCTTACTCCACTCCACTGTGATGGGGCTTTGGAGGCTGGAGTGTTCCACTTGGCAGGTGTAGACATCTCTTTGCTGGAGAGTCATTTCCAGCTTCACAAGGATCTGGAAGGTCCACTCCCCATTCCTAATAAGTGGAGTGGACACGATGCCAACTGTCTCTGCCTGGTCATTCCGAAACCACTGAACTTTGATCTGGCCAGGATAGAAATCTGTCACTGAGCAGACCAGCAGATTGCGGTGGTTCAGAACCTCCATCCTGGATGGGAAAATAGTCACTGCAGGTTCCACTGAGGAGAGTAACAGACAGGAAAAGACAATGAGATGTGAGACCACACGGGAAGGCTCCCCATGGGGAAGAGTCCTCTCTTGGCGCCAGAGTAGAAAGATCCCTGGATTCCAAGTCGGATTGGGATCTGAACTGGCCACTTGATTAGTTTGAATAAACACATTAGTCAGCTTACTTTTCAGAGTCTGAAAAAAATAATAGTAATCATTCCATGAAAGTTATTCTGTTGATACTAATTGATGAAATGAAACATTTTTAAATTATAGATAGCTATATTACACAGGGCACTATTTATCAAGTTTTTAAAAATAAAAATAAAAGGCTGGACTTCTTTCCCTCCACACCTATTGATATAGAAAATGGTTGCTAATCTGTAACACACAAGGTAGTTAGTTGTGAAATTAAACGGAATAATATAGGTGGTTTGGTAAAATATATGTCTAGAAACAGGTGTTTATTCAATGGCTGCATTTAACATCCAGAATATCTACCCCTAAAGTGGATGGTGATGTCAGAAGGAAGGGATACAGGGGGTAGAGGATAGGCAGGGTTTCGGCCAAAGGAAATCTGAAACAATTTTTATTCAACACTTTAATAACATCAATTTATTGACTCCAAAACTTCAACTCCTCCTATTCTGACATTGGTTGAGATTTTCGTAAAATTAAAATTCTGCCTTACAACACCATTCAAATACTGTTTATATTTTTAGTAAACAGTTTTTTCTTAGACTTTTCATTCACAAATCTTAATTTATAAAAACCAAAGTCACAAAGCTTACTTTAAATCATTAAGCAAAACACTAAAAACTAACTAATACAGTCAACTTTTAAGGCTTATTTACCCTTCTATTTTCTCTTGAGTGAAAGTGGACAGGCAGCCGAGTACATTAATTCACTAATTCCACAAAGATTTGCTCTCATACTGTGTGGGGTACTAGTCATACAATGAAGAGACAGTTCCTTACCTCAAAGAAGTCCAGGACTAGTGACAGCCATTTAAGAAAATAGAATTTGGAGGGGTGCCTGGGTGGCTTATTGGTTAAGCATCCAACTTTCGCTTAGGTCATGATCTCGCAGTTCGTGGGTTTGAGCCCCACGTCGGGCTCTGTGCGGACTGCCAGCTCAGAGCCTGGAGCCTGTTTCAGTCTGTGACTCCCTCTCTCTCTGACCCTCCCCTGCTCATGCTGTCTCTCTCTCTCTCTCTCCTAGAAATAAATAAAACATTAAAAAAAATTTTTTTTTAAATAGAATTTGGGGCTCGTGGGTAGCTCAGTTGGTTAAGCTGGGACTCCTGATGTTGGCTCAGGTCATGATCTCACAGTTCATGGGATGGAGTCCCAAGTCAGTCTCTGTGCTGACAGCGTGGAACCGGCTTGGGATTCTCTCTGTCCTTCTCTCTCTTTCTGATCCTTCCCTTGCTCAAGCGCCCTCTCTCTCTCTCTCTCAATAAATAAACATTTATAATAATTTTAAAAAGGAAACAGACTTTCCAAGTCCTACAAGAAAATAATAATTTGGAACAAAAAGTCAAAATTTGCCAAGTCACACTCTGACATATTTGCCACGCGTACAAGGTGCCCCAGCCCCACCAGGCCCAGCCTGCTAAGCCCCAGCTCACCGCCGGACAGGCGGGGACAGGGGCGCACTGGGCTCGCCTCAGGGAAAGGTGAGGATGGAGGAAGCAAACACCGCGATGGCCGAGTGGTGGAAACCGCCGCGGGAGGGCGGCCGCACTGGGCACAACTACCTGCCTAACAGCGGAGGGCTGCCGCGCGGGTCCCCCGCTCTGCCCCGCGTCCCGGTCCTTCCGCAGGCTGAGGGGGCTCACCTCGCCGCTGCAGGCTGGCTCTCTCCTCAGCCTGGTAGTTGTGTCTGCACACCGAGTCCACCTCGGCCCGCCTCCGCTCCATGATGTCCTTCTGCCGGTTCCAGGACTCGGCGAACGGCCGCCCCAGCTCGGTCACCGCCAGGAACTGCCCCACGCCGCTGTCGAAGCGCGCGACCTCCTCCCGGTTATAGATCTGTCTGCTCAGGAGCCGCACCCGCTCCGTCCCGTTGGTGAAACAGCAGCACTCGGCCTTAACCTGGAGCACGAAATCCTCTGCGGGGAATCACCGCGGACCAGTCAGGCCTCCACCCCGCGGGCCTTGTGCGGAGCGGCCCGCCTCCTGCCTGCTGCCTCCTCGAGTGCCCGCCGGCCCGAACCTGAGCATCCTCCAGCGGCTCTTTCCCAGGCCTACCTGCGCTCCTCAGAGAGCCTCCAGAATCGCCTTCCTACAGGGACAGGAGGGAGGAAAGCCTCTCTCTAAGGGCAAGGCCTGGGACCCGTGAGCCCAGTCTGAGCCTGAGAACAGAGTAAAACAGGCCACTGGGGTCCCTGTACTTGGATCGGGACGTTCTCACATAAAATCCCACTTTCCATAGAATTCCAGAGACAAACAGGTGTCCACATAAAACACAAGAGTTCAAGGGAATGAGAAAGGCTGAGAATTGAGTTTGACTTCATCCTGACAAGCATTTTCATTCTCTCGGAACCTGGCAAAGGGTCTTCCTTCCTATGCCTGGGTTTATGCTGAATTTCTGTCAGCCCACCCAACTGCAGTGTGAGCTCTGGTTACTCCTACAGGGCTAGAAGTGACCCACGCCTTCCAAGCCCTACAAAGAGACATTTTATTCATGGAAAGAACACAGTCTTTTGAATGAGATCAAATAGATTCCAATTAAACTGTGCCACTTACCAACTTGGGTATGTTACTAAAACAGAGTATTGATATCGTACATATAATTTGTAAAAAGGAAGTTGTAATACACAGAGGGGTGTTAGGAAGATCCAGAGAGAATGTATATTAAGATACTAATCCTGTGTCTGAATGGTTTCTTATTATGTGCTACTTCCCTTCTTTAACTTCTCCTTTCTCCTAAACTCAACCCACCATCAACTCAAGTCTCTGAATCCCACTCAAGTTACCACATGACCATAAATCAATGATACTTGAAGTTAAGACCCCTGTCTGTGGCCACCCAAGTCAGTTTTACCCAAATACCATGAGTTCACCTCCATGTGTATCCACTCAGAATCAGGAATGTAGAGTCCTTTTTATCAACTACCATGACTACAGAGACCACTGCTGCCCTACATTTCCCCAACACAGAATCCCAAAGTGTATAGGCTGGACAAGGTCGTGAAGGGCCCTGAAATGAAAAATCCTGCTGTGTCTTCTTTGGACAAATTCTATCTTCACAAATAACCCCAATTTCACTTTGTCCTGTCAGTAGTAGCAGATGCACTCTTTGTTTCCTCCTCCCCACTACAACGTCGCCATGGGATAGAGATTGTCCTTGCTTTATCATTAGAGATGGAAATAGAGCTCTCTTCCCCAAAGAGTAGAAACCTGTGAAAAAGGACTATATTCTGACCTCATAGAACCTTCCACACCTCAGCCCAAAGGTCCTTCAGAGCCTTCTCCCCAAAGTGGCTCTGGGAGCAGCTGCCCTGTACTTACGCGGAGAGTCTTTGCCCTCAGTTACTGGGATCCTCAGTACCACCATGATCATCACAGCTGCTGTCCAGAAGCCTCTGGAGACCCAAAGAGCCATCTTCCTGGACATAATTGAGAAAAAGGAAAAAGTAATGGTAGCAAACACACCTCATACCTGGTGGCTCTCACCTGAAGTACTTCAAGGAATAAAAATCTAAGAAAGCCTCCATTTACAGTAGGATTAGAGAGTATCTAGGAAGGGAACCAATCAGCACTGGGGCTGAAGTACTTCACCTGTCTCTGGGAAGACATTTTTTATGAAGGTTCTCAGCCCAGTGCCTGGCACAGTATCTTCATCAAATTGCGCTAGATGGACATTTGAGGTGAAGATTTCCCCTGGTTACAGAAGACCTAAAGATTTAATGTCTTAGGGGTTTAAAAACTGAATGAAAAATGACTCAAGAGTAGACATCTTTGTGATATTTGGGATTTTTAGTTCTTATACTTGAGATTTTCAGTAGGAAATATGTGGGATCATATTTCAGGGAAGAGAAAATTATTGCCACAGAGATATCCACTTCTGTTATCTTAGACACTCTGAGGAGCCTTCAGCTGTGGTGGGAAGAGCATAGTTCTTAGAGGGAAATGGTTTTGAGCTGCAGTTCTACCACTAATGGGCTTTACAAATGTCAGAAAATTACTGAAATTCTTTTAGCCTCAGGCTTCTCTTTGTAAAATGTGGATCGTGTTTCACGCATTTTATATCCAGATCATCATATATACAAACTTAACAGTAATATGTTTTGTTTAATATTGTGAAATGTTCCTCAGCTGCCATGTGTAACTGTTGGGAATATCAGGTTAATATGTGGAGCAAGAAAGCAAGCAAAAAAAAAAAAAAAAAAATTGACCCAGCCCTGTGGGTAAGTGATTCTTCATGTGCAAGAATCTATTACCTTTGTGCTCTTTGAGTGAAAGTATTTGGAAAGTTCACTTTTCTCTTATAAGCTCTTCAGCTGATTAAATCCTCCCTAAACCATAAAACAGGTTCACCTGAGGTCAGCAAAGGTGCAGTCCACAAACATTCACAGCATTCAGACACAATCACCTTTAGTTTCAATGATAGAGAACAAAAGATCTGGAGAAGCAGTTTCTGAGGCCCAAATGGTATTAATGAGGGAGCAGATATTAGAATTAACAGATTATATATGGATGTGGCACTTACTGTGCCAGTCCTAAGTTATCAAACCCTGAATGGCAGAAGTATCCATGTATTTTTTTAAATAAATCTATTATTTATCAGGTTCTTCTTACCCATGACTAAGGTCAGTGCCATATGGTTATAGAGCAATTAGAACTGTGTATGGCAAACATTAATAAACAAGACAATAAGTATCTCCCAGTCTTTTCTCCCTCCTTCTGTTTCTTCCCTGTATTTAAAAGTCTGTTTATATATTTTGAGAGAGAGAGAATGAGAGTGCAAGAGCAGGGGAGGGGCAGAGAGAGAGGGAGAAAGAGAATCCCAGCCAGGCTCCACGTTCAGTGCACAGCATAGTCGTGGGGCTCAATCCCTATGAGACATGACTGTGAGATCATGACCTGAGCCAATATCAAGAGTCGGATGTTTAACTGACTGAGTACCCAGGTGTCCCTCCCTGTATTTTAGGTTCTCCTTCTATAATAGAGGCCAGCATCTGAAAGCAGATATAAGGAGTTTACCAGGTAAAAAGAAATAGAGCAAGACAACAAGAAGTTTCTATTAGTGGCACGTGAAAGCAATGAGTTACTCCAATATTCTGTATTAGATGCAAGATTCCAGAGCACCTGAGACTTAGTCACTGGGCTTCCAGGAGCAGGGGTGTACTTATGATCAGGGTAATTCTAGAATTAAAAAGGGTTTCCATGGTGGGATGGAAGCAGAAAGGAGGAACTCGGAGCTGGAATAGGGTTGAGAGGCAAGAACAAATGGTCAAAAAAGGGACATGGAAGATACATTTGTCTCCTCAACTTCCGCCTCAGTGTCACTCAGCATAAACAGAGGCCTCTGGCCCATCCCTTCCCTCTTGTCCTGAGGAGAAAATTCTCTCCATTCTATTCTGGGCCTATGTGGTAGTCTGTGTCAGACCTGGGCATTGCCTAATCTCACAGGCCTCTTAACACAGATTTTTCAACCAGCAAAAAAAAATGTGTCAGCTTAGAATCCTTTTTCTGACTGGTTAAAACCTCATTTGAGGGGCCCCTGGGAGGCTCGGTCAGTTAAGCATCTCAGATCATGATCTCACAGTGTGTTTGAGCCCCACATCGGGCTCTGTGCTGACAGCTTGGAGCCTGGAGCCTGCTTCGGATTCTGTCTCTCCCCCATCTCTCTGGCCTTCTCCTGCTCACGCTCTGTGCCCCTCTCTCTCAAAGATAAATAAACATTAAAAATGGAAAAAAAAACCCACCTCATCTGAAAGGCTCTGGTCCAGACTTCTGCCAGCTGCTTCCCCCTGAGCCAGTTGGCATTCTCTACATTTTCTAGAGTTCTCTTTGCTACCGTATATATTCCCCTGTATTACTCAGGGGATCCATGGTTGGCCTGGCCTGAGAGGAAGGTAACTCAAACACCTGATTCCAGGAGCTTACCTGATCACCCCTCTGGGCCTCTCTGGAGGCAGAGCATTTAAGATGAAGGCAGTGTGTGCCCCATGTGGGTAGACGATGCCATCAAGAAATTGTCATGATATGGGTCAGAGTTACAGTAGAGAGACTTTCCCCAGAGGACATCCTTTCTCCTCTCAGGGTGGAAGATAAAAGTTTTAGACTCTTTTCTTTGTGGAAAGTCAGAGAAAAATCATCTCTGGTCAACATCCCTTGAAATCTGTGCTGGGTCAGATTTCTTTAATTCAGGAATTAGAAAATATTGTATATTCTGAAACGTTCTGTTATTTACTTCATGCCAGTAGTTAATATAATTAGAAATACTGTCCTCAGAATGTTGTTTTTTTAATAAAGATTTATCAAGAAATTATCCCTAAATTTTTCTAAATCTTAATTCATGAATAATAATTTTTCAAAATGAGGAGGACAGAGAGTTGATAGTGTAGAGGTAATGAGAGAGATGAACAACTTCTCAGGTGTGCTTCTTAGAGGAGGTGATGGTTCAACAGATAAAAGTCTGTGTTCATTTCAGGCAAGAAGGCTTACTTGAGCACAGGAAAATTTGGTAAGACTTGGGGGTGGATGGGACTTTCACAGCATATGGTTTGGTGTGAGCAGAGGGTGGAATTCAGTTATCCTAGTCTTTGTGAGGTTTGATGACAGCACCATTCAAAGTTGTCTGGGTTTTCACAGTATAAGAAAAAAAATAGTGGGAATTTAAGCAGAGGAATACCATGATACACTTTTCCATTCATAAGGCTATCTTGGAAGCCACATGGAAAAGACTCTTTAGACAGTGTACATTACCTTTCATGATCCAAATAAGACTCAAGTTAATGTTATGAACCCAATCCACCAAAATCCAGTTTACTGCAGAACAAATTTGCCAATGACCAGTTTGCTAAATTTGCCAACATTATTAATGTACCCCAGACTCACTTCTTTTTTTCTATTTCTAAAGTTTGTATACATTCATATTGATGTGTTGGAAGTGTACCAGAGACCTGTCAGTCACAGACCTCACGTTTCTGGGGCCTTTCATTCTCCCATGATTGCTCTTCTCTTGCTCTCTGGGCTCCACTCCATCTTACCGCTGACAGACAGCTCCCCATTTCCATGAAGCTTTGTAATAAATGCATTTACAAAGACAAAATGAAAACTGGTCTATTACACTTCCCAACATCCGAAGTTATTTAAGTTCTTTTAATATAAATTGGAATAAATACTTTAAATAATTAAAATACATGCTTTGGTTGAATTTGGTAAAGGTTATAAATTGACCCTTTAGAGAAATTAGCAAAAAGCCTTTTAAATGCTAAAATTCATAAAATAAAATATAACTTTAAAAAGGATTTTATGCCAATATAAATATGAATTAAAATTTTTCTATCTGAAATGCTGACATTTTGTTATGTTCACTAGACGAGTAATGAATAAGCAAAGTTTTGTTAAATTACTAAATGTACTAAATCTAGTCAGTATATCATTCAGCAAACTGATGCTTGAGCTAGTTGCTGTGAATTGGCCATTCATTCAGTAAATGGATCTTCGGGCAAATAAGCCCTGACCTGTCAGGCACATCCTTGAGAATGAACAGGAACCTTCACCCACAAGTTGTTTTTATCCAGTTCTTGTTTCTGGGCCAGACTCCTCAAATATAAGACTCTCCAACAGTAACCCCCAATGTTTAAAGCAGAATTAACATCAATTTTAAATAATCTCGTCCATAAAATAGAAGAGGAACAAACACTTCCCAATTCATGGTATGAAGCCTATATTTTCAAACCCAAGCAAAGAAAAGATAAAACAGAAAAAAACTACAGAACAATATCTTTTAGGAGCATAAATATAAAAATCTCTAACAAAATATTGGCAAAAAGAATTTAACAATCTATAAAAAGACTTATACTCCATGATTCAGCAAGATTTGTTCCAGTATGGTTCAACATTCACCTATCAATCACTGTAATCCTCCATAGTACATGCTAAAGAACAAAAAAATTACATGATTATATCAACTGATATAGAAAAAAAACATTTCACAAAATTCAACACACATTTGTGATAAATGCTTTCAGAAAATAAGAATATAGGGAACTCCATAACATGATAAAGACCTACCAAAAGAACCTAAAATTATACTTAATGGTGAAAAACTGAGAGTGAGGGGTGGCAAAAACAAACACAAACAAACAAACAAAAAACCTGAATGCTTTCCCCCTAAGACATGGGACAACGCAGAGGTTTCTTCACTCAACACTGTTATTCAACATAGTACTAGAAGTTCCAGCTAGATCAATAAGGCAAGAAAAGGAAATAATAGGCATAACTATCAGAAAGAAAGAAATAAAACTGTCTCTACTTACAGATGACCTTATTGTATATAAGGAAATTGCCAAAAAAAAAAAAAAAAGTGAGTTTAGCAGGATTGCAAGTTACAAAATCAAATTAAAAATCAATTTTATTTTTATATACTTGCAATAAACACAAAAAATCAGAATTAAAATATAATATTA